TGCGCACACACACACACACTCACAAAAGGCAGGAAAACAAAAACCCTTAGAAACAAAAAAATAAAACATTGTCAATCATTCCTCTGGGGTATCCTCCCAAGGTCCAGTGACTACCACTTCCATAGTGGTGGCCACTCTCTGCTTCCTCTTCTATTTGAGTACCAGTCCTCAGTACAAGGGTGCAGGCAGCTTTGAGGCAAGGCTCAGTTCATTCTACTGGGACTCTATGTTAAATCCTTCTGGTGTTGCCATGCTGCCTGCAAGTCATCATGGTGTGGTTCACCGAGGGTTGGGTAGAAACATATTTGTAGTGTCTACCCAGGAACAAAAAATCTGGCCCATTAAAATAAGTAAATAAATACATAGATTAATTAATGCTAATAAAAACTCTGGTCCATTATCCCCAATTGTTTTGCATCCCTTCCAGATGTGAAATTACTTCTCCCCAGTCACCCACCACACTCACCAACAGAACTATCAGTGTCTCCTCCAAAATATAGATGTTCCCCTGCCCTGGTCTTGACTTCATTTTCTGACAAGATTCGCCTTCCATTCCTGTAGAGGGCCCATCGATTTGCCCCAGCCTTGTCTCAATGTTGTACAGCTTCAAGTGGATTGTCCTCTCCCTTTTCCCCCATCTTGAAGGAGTGACCCCAGACCATGTGAGGTCTCCTCCTTCAAGGTGGCTCTGGTGAGGTGTGCAAAATGGAAGTGATATATGGTTCATGACTGGTAGGTAGCTTTCTCCTCTTTTGTTTAGGAATTGGTCCCTAAGATTGTTTAACTGGTGTTTCTTCATATAGTAGTGGACTCATACAGTACTAGTCCTTTTGTGATTGACTTACTTCACTCAGCATAATGGTTTCCAGGTCCTTCCAAGTCATGCGGTGTTTCATGCTTTCATCATTTTTTAGGGACGTATACTATCCCATTGTGTGTATATACCATTCTCCCACTTTTGGGTATTTGGGCTGCTTCTAGTTTCTTGCTACTGTGAACTGTACTCCTATGAACATGGGAGAGCAAACATCTACTCGTTTTGTGTCCCTTATTTATTTTGGGTAAGTGCCTAATAGTGGTATTAATAGATCATATGGGATTTCAATTTTCAGTTGCTTTAAGTATTGCCATATCACTTTTCTTTTAATTCTTTTATTAGGGGCTCATACAACTCTTATCACAATCCATACATACATCAATTGTGTAAAGCACATTTGTACATTCGTTGCCCTCATCATTCCCAAAACATTTGCTCTCCACTTAAGCCCCTGGCATCAGCTCCTCTTTTTTCCCCCTCCCTCCCTGCTCCCCCTTCCCTCATGAACCCTTGATAATTTATAAATTATTATTTCGTCATATCTTGTCCTGTCCGACGTCCCTTCACCCATTTATCTGTTGGGAGGAGGTCACGTGTAGATCCTTGTAATTGGTTCCCCCTTTCTAACCCACTCGCCCTCTATTCTCCCAATATCGCCACTCACACCACTAGTCCTGAAGGGATCATCCACCCTGGATTCCCTGTGTTTCCAGTTCCTAGTTGTACCAGTGTACACACTCTGGTCTAGCCAGACTTGCAAGGTAGAATTCGGATCATGATAGTGGGGGGCAGAGGAAGCATTTAGGAACTAGACCGTAGAGGAAAGTTGTATTTTTCATCTTTGCTACATTGCACCCTGGCTGTCTTGTCTCCTCCCCGAGCTGCCTCTGCAAGGGGATTTCCAGTAGCCTACAAATGGGCATTGGATCTCCACTCCGCACTCGCCCCCTCATTCACCTATGGTAAGATTTTTTGTTCTGATGATACCTGATACCTGATCCCTTCGGCACCTCGTGATCGCACAGGTTGGTGTGCTTCTTCCATGTGGGCTTTGTTGCTTCTGAGCCAGATGGCTGCTTGTTTACCTTCAAGCCTTTAAGACCCCAGATGCTATATCTTTTGATAGTCGGGCACCATCAGCTTTTTTCAGCCATATCATTTTTCACAGTGGCTATATGTATTTATGAGTCCCAAAACAGTGTATATGAGTTTTAATCTCTCCACATCCTCTCCTGCATTTGTTTGTTTGTTTTTCATTTGGGCCAGCATTGGGGTATAAAGTGGTAGGTATCTCACTGTGGTTTTAATTTGCATCTCCCTGATAACTAGTGATCGTGAGCATTTTTTCATACAATTGTTAGCCATTTGTACTTCATTTTTGGTGAGCTGTCTTTTTCCCATTTCTTACTTGGGTCTCTTGTTGTTTTCTTATTGAGCTGTTGCAGAGTTCTCTCTATTTTGGCAATTAGCCCTTTGTCCAATGTGTCATTAGTAAAAAAAATTTCCCAATCTATGAGCTTTCATTTCACTCTCCTGATGAAGTCTTTTGATGTGCATAGGTGATGTGATTTCAGCACGTTCCAGTCGTCTATCTAGTCTTCTGCTGTGTCTGCATCCTCCGTGATACTTGGTAGTCTATGTGTGCCCAATAACAGGACCCTTAAGTTTGTTCCAGTCTTCTCCCTGATGATGCTGAGAGGTTTGGGGTTTACATTTAGGTCTTTATGTCCATTTTGTGCATGGGAAAAGATATGGGTCTTCTTTCAATCTCCGGCATATGGAAATCCAATTTGTCCAACACCATTTGTTGAAGAGACTTACTCCGATTGGATATTTCTGAGTCTTTTGTTGAAGATTAGCTGTCTATAGGCTGATGCATTTATGTTTGGGTTTTCTGTTCTGACCTATTGGATGGAATTTCAGATATCTAGGACCATGGTGGAGTCCCTGGCTGGTACAGTTGATTTCTCTGGATGGTAGTTAGAATCCTCCCAAAGGTACCTTGGAATAAAGACCTGGCAATCTATTCTGGAAGTGTGCAGTCATTGAAAATCCTACGTACATATCAGAAGTGACAAACACCAGTCTACAAGTGGATCCATAGGCAAGATGAACAGGTATTAGAATGGCAAAAGGAGTTACACTCACAACTCTCCATATATGTTTGACCGATGATATTTCTATAAACATATTTGTATGTACTGTAAATACATCCATGTTTATAACATAGCAGACAGGGGACAAAGGAAATCCTTGGAAGGAATGAGTCACTGGACCTGGGGAGTAGGGGCCATAGTTGCTGTCATGCGACCCTAGGGCTGTCAAGGTCATTGGCATAACATACTCTATGAAGGCCAGGCTCCACATCCTACTTTGGTGAGAACCAACTGGGGGCTTAGAAGTGGCCATCCAAGAAGCAAAGAAGCAAAGAAAATCAGAGATGCAGGAAACAATTAGTCCAGTTGAATTAAAAATATTGTTTCGTGACAAAAACCGAGTAGCCCAAAGAACTAGTGGGTGACAGGAACCTCAGCTACCTTATCCTGAGACCAGAAGAACTAGACAGTGACCACTCTGAAAAGGATCATAATAGAGGGTCCTGGATACAGTTGGAGAAAAATGTGGAGCAGATCTCAAATTGATTAAAAGAAAAACAGAGAGACTGATGGAATCCCCAAAACTATAGCCCTTGCTCAGTCTTCCAGACTGGGCTTGTACTCACCCCAAGCTCAACTTTCAGCCAATCAGCAGTCCAATAGGGTGAGCATAATACCAGGGAGCTAGGTACACACTCCTCAGACAAATTAACCATACAAAATCAACAGGCAACATTTGCTCGGGGGGAAACCTCAGAAGACAGGAATGAACAAGGAAGAGGGAGGGTTGAAACTGTAAACATAGAAAGGAAGAGGAAAGAATACAGCAGCATTGTTGGTGCTGCAGTCTGTGTCGCGAGGCAAAATGTAGAAGAATTCTTGAATGGTAGTCCAATTTGCTCTGTACACCTTTACTCAGATCACAATAAAAAGTAAAAAAAAAACCCAAACCAATAAGGGTTCTTGGGGGTGGAGAAGGGATAAAGGAGAGCTAATTAATATCAAGTTGTTCAAGAAGAAAGAAAATGTTTTGAAAATGATGATGACAACATATGTACAAATGTGCTTGACACAATGGATGTGTGTATGGATTGTGATAAGAGCCCCCAACAAAATGATTAAAAAATAAATTTTTAAAATGTTTTGAAACTGACTGTGGTAGCAATTGTACAATACTGCTTGATGTGATTGAACTATAGAATGTTATGAGATCTGTAAGAGTTTCCAATAAAATTATAAAAAAGTAAAATTAATTAATTAAGTAGAAACCCTACTCGGCTCTGTAACATAGGGTCACTCGCATCAGAATTAACTCAATGACTTTTTTCCCCACTTGGGCTCATGGTTGTTAGGTGCCCTCTGGTCCATTTTGGCTCACAGTAACCTATGTGACAAAGTAGAGCTTTAAGGTTTTCTAGGCCGTAATATATATGAGAGCAGATCACCAGGTCTCCCCACTACCCAGGAGCTCCTGCATGAGTTCAGACCTTGGTGGTAGCTGATTATATTTTGCTACCTGGAAGTCTTTTCAGTCTACCACTTGTTTGTCAGATTGTCTTTTAAGAACAGAGCAAGGGGACACGGCATGGTTTAGAATCTGGAAAGGTGTGCATCAGGGTTGTCTCCTGTCACCACACTGGTTCAATCTGAGCAAATCATCTGAGAAGCTGGATGATATAAAAAAGAGTGTAACATCAGGATTGGAGGAAGGCTTATTAACAAAAGGTATCAACAATGTAAACTTGGATATGCAGATGTACAAACAATGTAAACTCGGACATAACCCTGCTTGCTGAAAGGGAGACGGACTTGAAACACTTGCTGAAGAAGATCCAGGACTGCAACATGGATTACAATTCAATGTCAAGAAGACCAAAATGCGCACAACTTGACCATGGTGGGCAGCATCATGATAAATAGAGGAAAGATTGAAGTTGTCAATGATTTCATCTCGTCAGGACCCACAATCCCTGCTCATGAAGCAGCAGTGAAGAGATCACAGGATGTGCTGCACTGGGTAAAGCTGCGGCATGAGACCTCTTTAAAGTGTTGAAAAGCGGTTGTTGACAACCGAGGTAGCCTTGGCGCCCGACTGAGACGGAGAGTCCTGCGGCCCGCACAGCGCCATGACAGAGGTGGAGGAGACGCTGAAGAGGATCCAGAGTCACAAAGGGGTCATTGGAACCATGGTCGTCAATGCGGAAGGCATCCCAATCCGAACCACCTTGGACAACTCGACCATGGTCCAGTACGCAGGGCTTCTCCATCAGCTGACCATGAAGGCCAGGAGCACAGTCCGAGACATCGACCCACAGAACGACCTCACCTTTCTCCGAATCCGGTCCAAGAAACATGAGATCATGGTTGCTCCACATAAGGAGTACCTCCTGATCGTCATCCAGAACCCATGCGAATAGACCTGCTCTCCCGCCACGCCTGTCCTGCCCTTGAGTGACGGCTCCAAATGGACGCCCGTCGAAGTGATCTTTTGGACTCTATTTTCTACGTTTACATTGCAACCGTTCCTCCTGTCCCACACTGACTGTACTGTAGCATTGTACCTCAGCTGTGTAATAAACAAACCCCGGTGTTGTGCCTGCAAAAAATAAAAAAATAAAATAAAGTGTTGAAAAGCAAGGTGGTTACTTTGAAGACTAAGACGTGCCTGATGCAAGCCATGGTATTTTCTTTCTCTTTTTTTAATAATCGTTTTATTAGGGGCTCATACAACTCTTATCACAATCCATACATACATCAATTGTGTAAACCATATTTGTACATTCATTGCCCTCATTATTCTCAAAACATTTGCTCTCCATCTAAGCTCCTGGCATCAGCTCCTAATTTTTCCCCTTCCTTCCCCCCTCCCTCATAAACCCTTGATAATTTATAAATTGTTATTTTGCCATATCTTGCCCTGTCTGACGTCTCCCTTCACCCACTTTTCTGTTGTCCGTCTCCCAGGGAGGAGGTCACATGTAGATCCTTGTAATCGGTTTGTAACTGATTACAAGCCATGGTATTTTCAATGGCCTCATATACATGCAAAAATTGGACATTTAATAAAGACCGAAGACGAGTTGATGCATTGAAATTATGGTGCTGGAGAAGAATACTGAAAGTACCATGGACAGCCAAAAGAACAAACATCTGTTTTGGAAGAAGTACAGCCAGAATGCTCCTTAAAGGCAAGGTTGATGAGACTTTGTCTCACATACTTTGGCCATGTTATCAGGAGAGACTAGTCTTTGGGGAAGGACGGGATACTTGGTAAAATGGAGGGTCAGCTAAAGAGAGGAAAGCCCTCAACAGATGGATCCACACAGTGGTTGTAACAATGGGCTTAAATGTAACAACAATGGAGAGGATGTCACATGACCAGGCAGTGTTTCTTTTTGTTGTACACAGGGTTTCCATGAGTTGGAACCAACTCAATGTCACCTAGCAACAGTAAGAACAAGTCTTTTCACTACCTTTCAGAGTACTGGCCAAGAAACGAGCAGGGAAAGGGAAGTCTACAGGCCACTTACTTAGTGAAGGGTTTTAGAACCCAGAATATCTATATCTACCTAACGCAAAAGGACTCAAATCCACTGCCATCGAGTCAATTCCAAGTCATTAAAATTTATGAGTCTGTAAATCTCTGTAAAAAAAAATTTTGTGGGAGCATCATCTCCCTCAGAGCATCTGGTGGGCTTGAACCGCCAACCTAGGGCTTAGCATTCCTACACCAGTGTTAATTTATCACTTGATTAATAGGCCTGTTCTAAGTGATACTAATACCAGGGTCACTGTGTAGAGTTCTGTTTCTTTGCCAAGCTAACACATGCACAAAGCTCAACTCCACTTGCCAGGGAACTACTCACTTCCTAGAACATTGGGAGCATTGTGAGGCCTTGGCCAGCCGAGTGAAAAGCAAATATTCCCCTGCCATGGAGAAATGGAAGTACTGTGCCTCCGAAATGTTAACCCTCCCATTGAGCAAGCCATTCTCCTTGTACTTTGTAAGCAAACAGGATGCAGTCTCTCTAGTCTTGTCTTCTGGGAGTTTCATTTCTCTGTAACTATCTCCCAAGAATCAAAATACCTCCCAAGAATCAAAATGGAAGGATTTAATTGTCAAACATTGTTACAAATAGTTTCGACACACATTTATTGCTTTAATTCTTCTTCCGTGGCATAGATAGTACTAAGGACTGGGACTGTTCAGGTACTGTCCCTTGGGACTCTCTCCAGAAATCCTGCTTACTCCCTCCCCCATTGTTCTATTATCTTAGATTGTAACTATAAGCTGTTTCTTAGGACAATCATACTTGGACTTTTAGAGTCTCTGAATCAGTAAAACAGACTAAACACACACACACACACACACA